CCCCCGCCCCGCTGCCGCTTGGCTCCCGGTGCCTCTGGTCTGCTGGGGACCGTCTCCAGCAGACCAGGGACACCAGGAGCAAAGCCGGGGAGGCGGAGGGGCGCCGGGGCACTGCCGGTTGGCCTCTTAAGGGGGGGTAGTCTTATACGGCGAGTATAAGACGAAAACCTATCTTTTAACTAGAAAATTAGGGGGTCGTCTTATATGCCCAGTCGCCTTATACGCCGGAAAATACGGTAGTTATAAATCACTGGGGAATGCTGAGCTTTGAAGTAATTTTGGTCAGCATGACAAGCAATGATCTCTGTACACTAGTCCTAGGGATGTGATTCTAGTGGCAACATTTTAAATAGATGTGAGGAAGGCTAATTTGAAGGCATCAAAGCAAGTTTTAAATATAAAAGTTGATAATGAAAAAATAAAAAACATACTTTTAAATGTAATTGTAATGTAAATTAAATTATTTTTTATTTTAAAAATAAACCCTGATTATAATTGTGGCAATTTATGTAAATACCTACATTTATTATAATCTAATAAAATATTTTAAATGAATAAAATGCTAAAATTAAGATGAGAAAAAATTAAGAAGTGGCTAAAAAAGTGATCTTGAAAGTTATATACATACAGAGCCCATCTAATGTATCTTTTAGCCACAAACTGAGGTACAGTACACTGAGAAGTAAGTGTAGTAATCTTGTGTAGTAATTTACACCCATAAAATGTTATAAAATCAAATGGCAATGCACTGTTGCTTTGTGTAAATGCCTACACAAGGTGCAAGGCAATGGATAGTCATGGTATTTATATGTCGCTGTGCCTTTCTGAAATCATCACTGTGTCTGTATCTTAATTTTGATGGATTATGTTTCAGTGGTATTTATGGGCAGTTTGAAGTATCCAGATGAGAATGGATTTGATCAATTCCTGAAGAAACATGGGGGCACTGACAATGCTTCCACTGACTGTGAACGGACAGTTTTCTATTTTGATATCCAGCAGAAATACTTCAAAGAAGCACTTGATAGGTAACCTTGATGACACCAAATAAAGCATTTGTTCATTTAAAGCAGATTAGCACGTGTTTGCCTGAGGAAACTGCACATATTTGCATTGGCTTTTCTTGGCCTGATTAAAGCTACCCTGCTCTTGCAAACTTCCATAGGTCCCCTTTTTACAACAGAGTTCATTATAGATACAGTGACCATATTTTCTGAACCAAAAATAGGGACACATTAGCCACGCCCCTGATCCCCTTTAGCCATGCCCACCTGCCACTGGAAGGGTTTGTGCAGAGTGCTGCCTCTGCCTTTTAAGTTGAGAGTCACACGCTTCTTAGATTTAAAGGGCAGAGCCAGTGCTCTGCACAAACCAGAATCAGCTGATTTCAAGTGTAGCTCTGCCCTTCAAATCTAAAACCACCCACATGGCTCTTACTAGGTTTAAAATGCAGAGAAGTAGCACAGAGGGAGCTGGAGCTGGGAATCAGCTGATTCCCAGTCTGGCTGCTGTTCTGTCCTTTTAACCTAGTAAGAGCCAAGTGGGTCGTCTTAGATTTAAAAGGCAGAGCCGCACGGGACGGCACCAGCTGAGCTTGAAATCAGCTGATCCCTGTTTGTGCAGTGTTGGCTCTGCCCTTTAACTCTAAGAAGCTGCATAGCTTTTAATTTAAAAGGCAGAGTCAGCGCCCTGCACAAACAGGGCTCAACTGATTTCAAGCACTGCTCTGCCTTTTATATCTAAGACCTGTGTGGCTCTTAGTAAGTTTAAAGGGCAGAGCGGCAGCTGGACCAGGCTCCCTCTGTGCTGCTGCTCTGCATTTTAAACTTAATAAGAGCCACATGGGTGGTCTTAGATTTAAAAGGCAGAGCCGCACTTGAAATCATCTGAGCCCGGTTTGTGCAGAGCACTAGCTCTGCCTTTTAAATCTAAGAAGACCAGTGTGGCTCTTACTGAGTTTAAACGGCAGCGGGGTTTCGTGGAGGAGGCCGTGAAGGGGAGGAGGCCACTTACTTGCTGCTTCTTTAGCGGAGTGGCTCCCAAGAGAACGACCTGCCCACGAGAGCAGCAGTGGGCCAGAGGTCAGGCACTGCCTCCCGCTGTTCTTACTGGCTGGGTTCCAGAGCAGCGGGAAAAATCTGTAAGAAGGTCCCTGCATATCTGTGTTCCCCCGGAAGAGACGGGGAGGGGAAATAGCAGCGTGCAGCCACTTCTATCTGTGATGTCATTTCTAGGACATTTTCAGTGTTTTACGGGTTACTGGGACAAGAGATTGAAATTTGGGACTGTCCCAGATTTTCTTGGGTGTAAGGTCAGAATAATTATGGAAGGGAATTGTGACTTTTCCCTAGCTCGCTCTCTGTGTTTTAAGGGAGAAGTAATACCTCAATAGTGTATTTTTTTTAGGAGTGATATAATTTATGCACCTACTTTGGAAGAAGGATAAATTTCAATATGCATTTATCCCAAATTACTTTTAGGTTATATTTTTGGACTTTCATAAATTCTCATAGTGTTGAAATTGCTAGTTCATTCAATTTATCCAGCTACTTAAAGGAGGATCTTTTATTGGCCTGTTCCTTTTAAATATGTTCCTCCTTAGATGGTTTAATATTTATGAACAATCTCTGTTTTTTAAAGTATTGATTCTTATATGGCTGTGTAGTACCATTTGATTCACAGCTCTATTTTAAAAAATATGTTCAGTGCCATTAATTAACTCACATCATATCATAGGATATGTCAAGAAAATAAACCTTTGCTTCTGTCATACAAAATTAAACAATTTTCTAATGGGGAGAGTAATTTAAATATTTTTGGTACTGACCAAATCAGCTGAGGGAAAGAAGGTTGTACTGCAAATAGGCATTTTATCAAAGCCATTATTAATATAGTGATTGAACTAAATTCTGAAACTAGAGTGTACACACAATGGGAGTGCTGTTTTTATAACAGCCTTGTGTAAAGTATTTGAGGGCAGAATTCGTCTCTCCAAAGGTGAGAATCAGACCAGCTTTGGCTATTTTGAAGGATCTTAAAGGTGGGTTGCATATGACAAGACTTGGGTTTGAAAAGAGACTGAAAAAGTTGGGGCTAGTTCAGAGGGGACAAAGCAGAGATGACATGATGATGCATGTCTATAAAATAATGAATGGTTTGTGGGAGGAAAACAGGCACACCCATTCATAATTATTCATATAAGAACATGGGTACAGTTAATGAAATTGAAGGCAGTGCATTTAAAATTGATGCTTTTTTGCATGATCAACCTGTGGAACTCTGTCAGAAGGGGTTGTTGAGTCAAAAACTTAGTAAAATTTTCAGAAATTCTAAGGTCAGAAAGTACCAGTGTGGGAAGATCCAAGGTCAGATTACCTGGCAACCACATGGATATATCCAAAATGTAATTACAACTCCACCCCCCACATAGACTCCCCAGTAGTGTGCCAGTGTTCCATATAACGCATTATCCTGCCATATCCATCATCCATATCTTTATGAGTGAGAAGAAAAAGATAATTGTTAATAGTATTATCTACATATATAAGAAAATTGTAATGGATGTAACATCTGATGGGCTTGGCTTTAAGGCATAAGTCAAATATTAGCTGCTCAAGGTTAGGAAGAAACTTTGCCAGTGGTCAGGGTTATTCATTAATTGTTTATTATAGGGATTTTTCCATCTTCCTCTGAAGCATCTGGTATTGGCCAGTTTGAGAGAGGCACAATTGTCTAGAATAGATGGACCACTTATGGTCATATCTGGTCTAATGAGTCTTATGTGCTGAAGGCAGATTCTGCTTCCTTTGGTACCATATTCTACTAGCTCGCTTCTGCACAAAAGATCAGTGACCTTGCCCTTTGTCTTTCTAAAAGTATTAAATAATTGGGCTTGTTCATGTTAGTTCACATGCTTTAAGAACTAATGGTAAAAGAGCCCAGAACTATATCATTGTTTAAGCTAATAGAAGTCCTTAATCTTAAAAAAGTAAACATTGTAGTTTGTCACAAAGTCAGTTTTTGTTTATTAAAAAAACCAATCTGTATAGTCATTCATCAAACAATAGGGAAGATTTACCTTTTTGTCTCTTTGTTTTAGGTGGGCACAATTCTTCATTCACCCACTAATGATCAGGGATGCTATTGATCGTGAAGTTGAAGCTGTTGATAGTGGTAAGAGTAACATTTTTGTCATAAAACTTTTTTTTTTTTTAGCTCTACAGCATTGACTGTATTGAAATTCTTGACAAGATTCTCAGGTATTTCGTGCTGTCTCATGCGTAATATCTAATATATCCTTTATTTAACTTCAGTTAAAAAGTAAAATTTAACTAGAGGCTAAAAGTTACATTAATGGGACTTTATTGATTCCTTGAGCATAATGAAATATATACATTTATGTGAGTGAGAGTCAAGTTGTGTTGTCTTCACCGCTCAGTGCAGAGCAAATGTTGGTATTAACATGGATAGGAGGACTAATCTTGTGAAAATAGTATATTTGAAGGAGAATTGTTAGAGTGTGAATTAGGGATGTTAAATATCAGTTAATTGAATAGTCAATTAACCTCATGAATTTTAAATGGTCACTCAACTATTCTATAGTCCCCGAGGGTGGGTCCAGCAGCCAGCATGCTCTGGCTCCACTCCCGAGGAGTCCCCTGCCACTCCATGCTGCTGCCTCTATCAGAGGCAGCAGCACAGGGTGCCAGGAGGGAGCTGGTCTGCGAGGGGAGCCAGTTTAAAAACCAGATCCCCTTGCAGATCATCTGGAGCATTCAAGCCCCTCTATCCAACATGGGGTCACCCAACAAGAGCTTGGCGATGGATGTACCTGGCCCCCCTAGGATGTAGGACAGATAAGAGGGGGCCCAAAATATAGGGAGATTGGTGGCTCCTCCAGTGGCACAGTGGATAAGGTACATGCCTCCAGAGCAATGAGTCTGTTGCCCTGAGCTGCTGTCTTTTAAACAGAGGCAGCAGGATGGGGTGGCAGCAGCCCCTGTCCTGGTGGGGTCTGAGCTCTTGGACCCGGAGCGAGCTGGAACTGAGCCGGGTTTCCTACCAACCTGGCTCCTAATACACTTTAAATGCCGAGTAGCAGCAGGGGTAGATTCCAGACTTGGAGTGAGCCAGGCTGCTGACCAGCCTGATAAAAAATTTACTGGCGGGGGACGGGAATAAGTATTTGCTTATCGGTTAATCGACTACACTATTATATCTTCAGTGTAAATCAGTGTCCTCCTCCAACCATGACTGCTCTGTAGCTGGGGAAGGGCTCCTCCACCATCCGTAGCAGCTCAGTCTTGGGTCCAGATAAGTGTGCCACTTCCCTGGCCATAGTTCTGAACCCAGATTTGCCCTGGCTAAGGAACAGCAACCTCTTCCTGATTGTGGAGAGGCACTTTCTCCCTTCCTCAGGCTGCTGCAGTGAGAGAGGGCTGAGGGTAGTCCTCTCTTTCTGGGGTAGCCTGCACTCCGAACACCTCATTCCCAAATCCACCCGAGATCCTGCACCCCTATTCAGAGCCCTCAACTTCCTTCACAACCATCTGCCCCAGCCCCGAGCCCCCTCCTGCATTTCAGTGCTTTGGCGCTACTCTGATCACACATTGTCCATTTGCAGAATAATTTTATTATGTGATACATCACCTGCATATTTGTGCACATAATGAAAGTCATTCCACACACAGACATAAAAAATAAGAATGAACGTTGCTAATCATCTCATCTGTTTATCTCTTATGTAGATCATATGGAGTGTCAGGCTGCCTTTGTGGGAGTGATTTCAAATTGTATAACTTCTTACACTACATCAGCCTATGCAATAGCTCAGGTCGTACCTTCACAGCAGTTGCAAGCTCATTTGAGGAAAGCCCAAGTAATATCAGTAGCATTTCTCAGTGATATGTCAGTATTTGACATTTGAAGGGATGTTGCCTGGTCTTCTGTAAATGCTCTTACCAGGCACTATTAGATTGCCATGGCATCTAGGTCAGATGCAAACTTTGGGAAGCCTGTCCTGCAGTCATTTTTTAAAGTAGACTCTGAGACTGTCCTCCTATGAGTTCTGCTTGTGAGTCACTTGAATGGAATACATGTCTGTAGGCACTTGAAGAAAAGACAGTCACTTGCCTTTATTGCAACTGTTGTTCCTTGAGATGTGGGTGTAGACATGTATTTCCTGATCCATCCTTTGCCGTTTCTGTAACAGTCTCCTTATTTTTGACGTTCAATCTGAAGGATAGTGCTGCTCTTAAAAAACTAAGGGAGAATTAGAGATACAAGGCATAAGCACAGCCCCTCTGGGTTCTGAGACAAAATTCTCTGGCATTTGTGCACTGGCCATACACCTGCCTTTGTGAAATACATGTTTGCACTCATATTTTAAAGAACAACAATTACAATACAGGTAAATAACCACCTTTTCTTCTTCGGATGATGTCCCCGTGGGTGCTCCACTGTTGGTGATGGGTGATCCCTGGTGCCGCAGTTCTGAGCTTTTTGTAGCAGTTGACAGTTGGGCTGCACTCCACAGGAGCCAACTTGTACCACTTACACTTGGTGTCTTGCGTGGCATCCTGACACTCCCTTCAGTTCCTCTTCAACCACCCTCCTTGCAGATGGAGTTCTCATCTCTCTCAGGAATTGTTTCTTCACACTTAATGCTTTTCCTTATGGGCTCTTGCCCTTAATTGATCAATCAATTTCAAAGAAAAAAACTGCAAAGAGAAAGAACATGCTTCACTCCCAGAATGGGGTTTCTCTCTCTCTCTCTCTCAAAAAAAAAAAAAAAGTAAAGAAGACAAAACGAGGCACCCAAGCCTTAATAAGACCTGACCATGCCCAGCCCTCAGGGTTTTTTAAAGTGCTCACAATATAAGGAACCCATGCAAGCATCAGATGGACATGATTCTTGCATAAGATGTTTGGGGGAGGCACATGCCACCCAAAAATGTGACCATTGCAGGAGCCTCACTGCCAGGACTGGGAAGGACTATGAAATGAGGCTCCACATGATTATGTTTGAAAGGGTGCTTGGACCAGCCTGAGCTAACCCCAAAACATGGAGATCTAAAGCACAGGTCCGTGTCACCCTCCCCATATTCTGTTTCTCAGCCATGGACTGAGGATTTTTTTTCTTTTCCCTCTGCTCTTTTTCTTTCCTTTCTGAGCATTGGCAGCTAGTGGTGTTGCCACTTTCACAGCTACTTTGTGCATCTGGCAAAAAACATTTCCCATGCTGTTCTATGTATTATGTTTGGCCCTGTTGAACATGGATGTTGTTTACATTGGAACATTGCCCAGTGATTTAATACAGTGCTCTAAAACTAACAGAATATCAACTAGCAAGGCCCTCTGATGCAAACAGGAGGGAACTGCTGCTTGGGAGCCTTGCCAAACCTGGACATCCAATGAAGAAGTTTTTCTGGGGTGAGTCTTGTTCTAACATTCTAAAACTCTATCGGTTTTTCTATATGACACATATTTGTTAAAGTGGTGTCTTAACAATGTGAGATTCTTTAGTATTTCATCAAATTCTGATGCTACATGAACGGAATATATTTTCAACTTCAGCTTTGCTATTTGCCTTATGCCCATTCATAACAACTTATTATTAGTGTACTGCTAATATTATTTAGGGCTGCTGTGGTTCACATAGCCTCCTATCTTTTCCATTATAAATTGTGGAAAAATAATATATGCATCTTGGATGTAAAAGACAAAGTACTCGTGGGCTCACAAGGAAGATTTTTTGAAAACGGTTGATTCGGCCTCAGAGCTACAATAGCAGGTGAGTGACAGCTTCACGGCCAGTGTTCAGCCTTGTGAGTATGAGTGAGTTGAAGGGAGAATTTATTTTCCTTCTTTCACCCCGTACAGTCCCGGTAGAACCAAACCCAATGTGTGGTATTGTGCATTTAATTACAAGTAGAACCAGCCTTAGATCCTGTCAACTTGAAGTCTAGTCATTTGTAAAAAAAAAAGACTAGTTTTAGGTGCTATAACTAGTCCTGAATCTCTTTTGACACTTTTTATGGATTTCCAATTATTACATGCTATAACAACATTTTCCTGCAAGCATGTTTTTCTTTTCTATGTTATGAAAGACTTAAACAATCAGGGTGAAATTAGCTATACTGTACCAGGGTCTGTGAACATAAGAATGACCATACTGAGTCAAACCAAAGGACCATCTAGCTCAGTATCCTGTCCTCTGACAAAGTGGCCAGGCCAGATGTCCCAGACAGAATGAAGAAAACAGTTAATCATTAAGGGTATGTTTACATTGCAAGGCTATTTCGGTATACTGGAGGTATCCCAAAATAGCTACCCTGTGTCTACACAAGCCGCCTGTTATTTCGAAATATTTTTTCGAAATAATGGGTGCATTATTTCGCCATCCTAGTAAACCTTGTTGCATGAGGGATAAGGGGCGGCTCGAAATAGCACGGTATTTTGAAATCTGGTGCTGTGTAGATGTGCCAAATTTCAAAATAATCTATTTCGAGTTTAGGGTGCAGTGTAGAAACACCCTAAAAGTTATCCATTCTCTGTCGCTCATTCCCAGCTTTTGACAAACAGGCTAAGGAGACCATCCCTGACCATCCTGGGTTTTAGCCATTGATGGAATCATCTTCCATGAATTTATCTGATTCTTTTTTGATCCCTGTTACAGTCATGGCCTTCATAATATCCTCTGGTAAAGAGTTCCATAGGTGAATGGTGCACAAAATTAACTGCTAAATATAGAAAAATATATTATCTCTAATTTTTGTTATAGTATTCTTAAAAGTTCTGTGTAACAATAGGAGATAAAAAAAATTCAGAGAAGAGAAATTTTTAAAATTGCTGTCTCTTAAGCTTTGAAATTGTTGGCAGTTTAATCATAGTATTAATAGTAGTTATAACTCTTCTTCATACGTATGCATTTCACCTCTGTATTTTTTCTTGTATTCATGGCCTAAACGCTTTGTGCTCCATCGTCATTTGTTGCACATCCAGAACCGTGAAATTCTTGTGTATAAGGAATCCAAGATTAGATTCTATGACTAGATCTTGTGATTAGAAAAGCACAAGTGATGTGAAGCCGAATAACTACTTTTTTAACATTTACAGGTAATGCAGAGACACTAAAGCATGAGCCTAAAAAGAGTAATATTGATATCTACATCAGACTGAGGGAGTTTTGGCAGCGCTACTACTCTGCTCACTATATGAATTTAATTGTCCAGTCTAGAGGTAACATCATTTGTTGCTTAAATACCAATTTTTACAGGCTGCTTTAAAATAGAGGACTTTCTGTTCAGCTCAGAACTTGCACCTTGCTGCTCACTAGGTAATGATTCTGCTATAGTTATGTGTTTTGGTTTATAATAAGGATGTTTAAATGCGTGTACTTAAGTAACTGTATAACCATGGTAGTTGGCTCATTGGGAGCTGGTGTGCACACCTGGCTTCCCATGCGAACCAGCTGCCGCCTGCCACCCTGCGCTGCTGCCTCTGATACAGCAGAATGCACTGGGAGCTGGCTTTTTAGTCAGCTCCCTGTGCATACAGGGATCCTGTGTGTAACCGGGAATGTTAACTGATGAGCCCAGACTCATCGGTTAACCATTTACAGAGTTACTTTTTCACATCCCTAGTTTATAAACCGATAGAAAAGGTTAGTGCTTAGCTTTTTTCAATTTAAATTCCCTGGGAGTTCTGATTGAGATCTAAGAATTTAACCTGAAATGCAAATTTGAATCCCAGTAGGACTGTCTCAGCTCTTTTTGCAGTCCATACACTAATTTCAAAATATTTTATTATAGGGATGATAACTTATAGATTTTTAAACAATTACATTATTGATTAATCCAAATGACTACATGCAGCCCTGCTCTCCTTGCTGCCTCTGTATCAGAGGCAGTAAGGGGGGATGGAACCTGGTGCCCTTTGGGAGATGATTTTTAAGCTGGCTCGCCACATGCCAGTTTCCATGAAGTTCCCTGCCCCTCCCCCCACTACCTCCCCCAGAGGCAGCATTGCAGGGGACTGGCAAGAGCCAGTGCTTAAAAGCTGGTTCCCCATGTGCACCGGATTCCACAGAGCCACATGCCTCCTTACCCTCACGTTGCTGTCTCTGATAGAGAGGCAGCAACATGGAGAGTGAATTTCAAGGAGAAGTGTGGGGGGAGGGGTATGGGAGCTAGTGCTCTTAGGGACATGCCTGCATGCTCATGCACACACACCTTTGCTGCTGCCTCTCTTTCAGAGGCAGCAATGCAGTAGGGCATGGGGGCAGGTGGGAGCAAAAATGCACAGGGAACCAGCTTTTAAGTTTGCTCTCTGCTCATCCTGGCTCTGCCGAGTTGACTCCCACAGAGGCAGCAGGGGGAGGAGGGCCCGTGAGGGGTGTCAACAAGCAGGAGCTGGTGCTTGGGTGGAGCCAGGCAGGATTATGGAGGCAGCAGTGTGGGGCAGCAGGTGGGAGCTGATCTACGTGCGGAGTCAATTTTTAAACCAGCTCCCCTCATGGACAGGCTCCTCCTGCCACCCTGAGCTGCTGCCTCTGATACAGAGATAGGTTAGGTTAGCAGGGGGCTCCCTGGGAGTGGGGCCAGGAGCGGTGGCGAGCCCCGCAGCAGGTGGGAGCTGATCTACGTGCGGAGTCAATTTTTAAACCAGCTCCCCTCATGGACAGGCTCCTCCTGCCACCCTGAGCTGCTGCCTCTGATACAGAGATAGGTTAGGTTAGCAGGGGGCTCCCTGGGAGTGGGGCCAGGAGCGGTCGCGAGCCCCGCCGAGCGGTGGCAAGCCCCGCTTTCCAGCCGCGCGGCTCTGTGCTCTG